TGGAACAGCAAGGCGAAAGGGTCCGGTGACTTGTATTGTTTAACAAAAGTTTCCCTCGCGCGGTGAAAATGCAATGCTCAAGTTGCTGAAAGGTGCGGTAGGAAACCTGTTTAAGGGAAGGAAGACATGAAACACCATGAAAACAAACCAAACGATTGGACAGCGTGAGCAAAAGTTAAAAGTGCAGGTACACGGGGATGATCAGTCCCCGCATCCTGGTCGACTGCATGGAGCTTCGTTGGCGACAGCCATGCAGTGACCCTGTCGCCCCCTGCCTGTGGAAAAGGTGGAAAAGGTGGTGAAGGTGGGGAAAAACCCTTAGAACCAGGGTGTGACACACACACAAGCACACATATGAAAACGCGTAAATGAGAGTACGCGTGTGTACGCGCAAATACATGAGAGCACACATATGAGAGCACGGCCCCTGCGCCTGCCACAGTGACCATCATGCCATCAAGTCCAAAATGCGCACGGCACCAAAGCAAAACACAGTCTTGCGGAAGTAAGTTTTAGCGAGCTTGCGCAATTGAGATGCACTTCGAACATCTTGAGAGGCATGATTCATGAGTGTAGCGAAAAATGCGTAAATAAATAGCCGCGAATTGGCCGCACGTGGCACCGTGGCACCTGGATTCGAGCACCCTCGATCAAACGCAGCCTTAACACTTACCTTACTAACCCCTAGTGTGACCACACTGTTTGGGACAGGAAAAAGCAAAAGAAGAGACATTACGACTAAGTTCCTGGCCTCATTTTACTTTGGCCACACATTTGTTTCGGCTTTGCGCTAAGGTCAGCCGATTGGGATGTAGCTCTGGAAGTGGCTTGGCATTTTTGATTCTTCAAAAAGGATACAGTACAGCAACAGAATTAGCACTACTCTTGGGCTCTGACAGGAACCCTGCAAAATAACTGAGACTCACACACTCTGTGTGGCCCGTGAGGCCAGCTTTTCGCTTCCTGATCAGGCAGTGAGTGGTGTAGATTCACAGGCTTCACGCACAAATGAGCCTGCCACGAGCAGTTGCCGGCCTTCCTTTCGCAACCTCAAGGAAGCTCTGCAGAAGCTGTGGACCTTTTGAACAGTGTCCATTCCCAGCCTCCATCTGCCGCAGAACACTGGGGCGTTGTGCCACATTCTCCGGAAGTTCGAACGAATGGGATCTTAGGAGTTGTGAGAGCCACCCGACTCTTGTCAGACTTGTCATTGCCCAAAGATGTTGAAAGCCGGGCTGAACCATTTCTCTGAGGACTGCGCGCGCATGCTGCATCAGTACCTCGCTGTCCTTCATATTGGCTTTACAGCACAATCTGTCTCAAAGATACTAGTAGTAAACGTAACATTAGCTTAGCCCATACTCTCAGCAACCGTCCAAACAGAAACTAGCCACAGTTGGTGGTAACCGAGATTTGATGTTGGCAGCTTTCTTCAACAACGGTCTTTTCATTGCAAAGGCATCCATTGCCATTGAATGGCTTTAAAAACTGGTCCTTCATTGTAAAGTCTTGGACTGACATTTTGCCTCAGATTACGACAAATGGTCACAAGGAGATATGTTGCAAAATACCCGTTTTCAATTGGGCCTGTGGATCCGGTCAGCAACAGCAGTCAGTGCTGAATGGATGCTCTTCCTCAGACCATCCAGAAACCGACTTTTCACAAACTGCGGCACGCTTGACCAATCATGTCTCCAGGCCTGCTGGGCCAGGATCTTGACCAATGGAATACTAGCAATGGCCTCCGACCTAATAGCAATGGCCTCCAACCGAAAATGGAATAAGAACAAACTCCTCCAAACGTGACTACATCCAATCCAGGTCAAGTTGACCGCTAAGAAACGGCCGCAAGGGTGAAATATCCACCGCTGCATCAGGTGCCATTGCAAAGAAACATGATGTTGACGCGTGTTTCGCTTGTTTGCATTCAAAGCGTGGATAGCCCACACTGTTCAGCACACTGCACATTGCTTCAGAAGAATACGAAAACATTTGCTGTGAAACTTGCAGTTTTCTTGTTCTTTGTAGTTTGCCTGCGGTAAGCCGGCCCAAGACCCCAAGCACATCAAATGCAGGTGCGGCGAAACAACTGCTGCCAAACATTTGTTGTCAAACTTCACCCTTTGCAATGTCTTTTGCTGACAAGTTTGCATCGCGTCCTCTCATCCTCGCCAACAAAACTTCAGGATATTACTGTCAGAAAACCAAGATGTCCTCCATCATTGGTTTGAACACTTTCAGGAGTGATTGATTCAAGAGACAATCCTGGAACTAAGGCTCGCAGGTGTCATCAATGCAATCCTGACAGTGGGAAACACAAGTTCCAAGCGAACAGTGCCGTCCTTGAAGCCCACCTCAGAGCGACCATCAGCCTAGGCACCCATTTTGTTTGTGCAGGAAGACTGGAATCGGTGTGTGTGTGTGTGTCACCCTCCGTCTTTCCTTCAGGTTTGTTAGGTTGCTGCCTGGGTTCGTCCTAGTCGATCCACATTGTCCCGGACCCCCCCCTATCGTTCTTTCCTGCTTTCGTTTTTCTTGCTTGGTTTTTCTTCGTTCTACAGGTTTTGAGGCTTGAAACCAGGTTTTTTTCCGTCAAGGGCTTGCCATTTTTCCCACAATGCGCCGAATACGGCATTGTGTGTAACCCTTGGACTCACAGGCAACCTTTCGGTTTGGGACCATCCACGTGCTGTGAGCGATGGTCCAACGAAGCGGCCACAGTACATGTGGATATCTGGCCGGATCAGCCAGACGCACCTGCAGTTTTATTTGAGAAATTCCATCGTGGTCCCTGCTTGTAGCTAGAACAAGACGTCCAGCCTTTGCATCGGGTCATCATCGGCAAATGTGCATTGTCGCTTTGGATGTGTCGATTTGGGTTTGTCGATTTGGAGTTGACCCACCGTACATGTACCTGTCCTGGTTTCGCAGGTTTTTACTTAGGCTGGCGTGTGGCACCGCTGTCAAGTCAGTATGCCTTTCTACAAGTCTATAAGTGTGTAACCCTTGGACTCACAGGGAACCTTTCGGTTTGGAGCAGGGGGACGGGTCACCGCTGATACTGCGCAGCGCCCGTCCAACGAAGAGCGTATCAGTTGGTGCTGATGCAGTCGGGGACGCCCCACTGTGTACCTGCTCTACCATTTAGATCCTTTCCTTCTGCTTTCCTCTAGTCTAGGCCCCCAACCTTGTAACGTGGACCTTCAACCCGAACTTTTTGGCCACTACCCGCTAGCGTTGGCCCCTAACTTTGGCAGTCTTGTGTTTCTTGTGTTTCTCGCAACCTTGTAGCACTGGCCTCCAACCTGGCACCATGGCCTCCAACCCACTAGCGGCGACCTCCAACTTTGCTGCTCGCTGTCACTTTTGTTTTGCTTGCACATACTACCCGCCACCTACTAGCGACGGCCTCCAACCTTAGGTCTTGGCCCCCAACGGCCTTGCGATGGCATCCAACTCAAAAGTGATGGCCCTTTAACCTACTACTTGTCACCTTTGTCAAGCCAGTACGCATTTTGTCTCTCCCAGTGAGAGCCAAGGGTGACCCCGCAGAGTGGCCCCTGTAAACCCGTTGAACGGGCGTTTGTCTTTATCTCCCCTGCCCGGAGATGTACGTGCCCAGAGCGGGCGTAGTAGGCAATAGGCTTGTGCCAAAGTTATTTGCCAAGATTTGCTGAATTATTGCATTCCAAGCTGGCTCATGCCTTTACGTGACCGCAGCGGTCTAAGCAGCCAGCCACTTTGGCAGGGCACAAGGTGACCATTCTCGTGTGTTCCTGAATGGAATACTCACCTCTCTCTCTCTCTGCATCGGGTCATCATCAGCAAATGCGCATTGTCGCTTTGGATGTGTCGATTTGGGTTTGTCGATTTGGAGTTGACCCACCGTACATGTACCGTACCTGTCCTGGTTTCTCAGGTTTTTTACTTAGGCTGGCGTGCGGCACCACTGTCAAGTCAGTACGCATTTCTGTAAGTGTGTAGCCCTTAGACTCACAAGGAACCTTTCGGTTTGGAGCAGGGACGGGTCACTGCTGATACTGCCCGTCCAACGAGGAGGGTATCAGTTCGTGCTGAGTACCTGCTCTACTATTTAGGCGTCGGCGCCTTTCCTTCTACTTTCCTCTAGTCTACTCTATATAGGCCCCCAACCTTGTAACGTGGACCTTCAACCCGAACTTTTTGGCCTCTACCCACTAGCATTGGCCCCTAACTTTGGCTGTCTTGTGTTTCTTGTGCTTCTTGCAACCTTGTAGCGCTGGCCTCCAACCTGGTACTACGCCGACCTCCAACTTTGCTGCTCGCTGTAACTTTTGTTTTGCTTGCGCAAACTACCCACCACCTACTAGCAACGGCCTCCAACCTTAGGTCTTGCGATGGCCTCCAACCTAAAAGCGATGGCCCTTAACCTACTATTCGTCCTGGTACCTAGGAAATGGTAACCTAGGCCGGCGTGTGGCGCCGCTGTCAAGTCAGCACGCATTTCTATAAGTGTGTGTGTGTGTGTCAACTCCTGTTTCCAAGGACCTCTGTCACATTTGTACAGTTTAACAGGGGGATGCCCCACACCTGAAACAAAGAGGCTCTTCAGCACCAAGGACGCTTGCTGACGTACCTGCTTGTACAGTCCGTGGTTCCTTTTGCGATGTTCCCATGTCACACCATTCTTCCTGTAAATGCGCGTTTTAAACATTTCTGTTCTTCGGACTCTTTCACCTTTCGTTCCCTCAGCCAAGGTCTAATCTTCAGCAACGTAAAGCGCTAGCCCCACTGGGAAGTCAAAACTGATAGAGCCCTTGCGAGCATGGATCTAAGTGTGCGCCGCAAGAGGGCCCCACTGCGGTCTGCTGTGAGCCCAATTTGATCGCATTTAGCACAGGCCCTCAAGGGCGATACTTCAAAGGTTCCTCAGCTTTGGTCGAGTCAACAACTGATCAGCCGTCTGCTCGAGATAGCTGACACTATGCCGCAGGGCAAACTGCATTTGACACAGAATGTCATGACATGCGGCCAAGTATTCACTGTTCCACGTTTTGAATAATTCATGCACGGTTTTGCTTTCTCTCCTTCCTAGGTTTTCTCTTTCTAGGTCTTTTCTTCGTCGCTAAAGGCTTGTTGTTAGGTTTCAGGTTAAGTTTTAGTCAAGGGAGCACCGATTCGGTTTTTTGGGTGTCTGGCTATGTGCCTTTCAACCACCCCCCACACGCACCCCCGGGTCTTGGCTTTCTTTCGTCTGATATCTTTCCTTCAGGTTTGTGAGGTTGCTGCCTGGGCTCGTCTTAGTCGATCCACACTGTCCCGAACCCCCACGCTATCGTTCTTTCCTGCTTTCGTTTTTCTTGCTTGGTTTTTCTTCCTTCTACAGGTTTTGAGGATTGAAACCAGGTTTTTTTCAGCCAAGGGCTTGCAATTCTTCCCACAGCGCGCCGAATACGGCATTGTGTGTGTGTGTCAACTCCTGTTTCCAAGGACCTCTGTCACATTTGTACAGTTTAGCAGGGGGATGCCCCACACCTGAAGAGAGGGCATCTGGCAAAGAGGCTCTTCAGCGCCAAGGACGCTTGCTGACGTACCTGCTTGTACAGTCCGCGGTTCCTTTTGTGATGTTCCCATGTCACACCATTCTTCCTGTAAAGTGCAGCGCGGGTTTTAAACATTTCTGTTCTTCGGACTCTTTCACCTTTCCTTCCCTCAGCCAAGGTCTAATCTTCAGCAACGTAAAGTGCTAGCCCCACTGGGAAGTCAAAACTGATAGAGCTCGTGCGAGCGTAGATCTAAGTGTGTACGCACGTGAACCCCTGTACTTGTTTTGATTTGGGTCGGCGCAGTGTTTCTATCTACGACGTTCCACTGCCATGGGCTCTTATAGTCCTTGACTGCTGACGGCCATGTCACGTAGAGGGCCCTATACACACAATCAAAAAATAGCAAACAGGCCCCTTAGTTTGCTTCCATTTCGCAAACTTTCTGCGTGCGTCATTGCGAGGTCATGCGCACTTCCTTGGTTTGGTTCGAGGAAACCCCTTGCCTCGTTTCTAGCATTGACCTGGGTGGTTCCGGGGGGCGCTGTTCGGATCGGATTCGTAGGATCGGAATCTATTTGGTCAGATCGCAGGTCTCATCCATCCCGACCGTCCCGCCCATCCCGACCATCGTGTCTCATATCACTCCCGACCATCCCGACTATATCCCGACCATCATCCGCACTTATATATATATATATGTCTTTTCCATCCCGACCGTCCCCACTTTCATATATGCATGGTCTCATCCAATCCGACCCTCCCGACCATCCCGCCCGTCCCGACCATCCCGACCATCGTCCTCACTTTCTCACGCAAGTCTCATCCATCCCGACCATCCCGACCATCATCCTCCCTTTCTCGCGCAGGTCTCATCACGCCCGACCATCCCGACCATCACGACTATCCCGACCATCATCATCTATATGTCTTATCCATCCCGACCGTCCCATCCCATCCTTACCATCCACATCCCTAGATCCCCGCTCGAACATGAAAGCCCTCGTGGGCGTATCATGGGCGCGCTGTTCCGCAAGCCGTCGCTGCGCACTGCAACTATCGACTTCACTGTGCTCTCCTGTTGTCTCCATTTGCGTCATGTCTGAAGTCAACTGCAGTCGCCACGCCTGACTGGGAAAGCTCAGCAAGTTCTACCAGACTTGTTCCGACAGGTGGTTTGAACCCAACACGAAAAGGAAACGCGTTCTCCCTGATGCCTTCGCACAGTTCTTGTGGTCATCGCAGCGCAACCACACTTTCGCGTCCTTGACCTGCACCTTGACTCTATAGGGATCCGTCAAGGGATTGGCAGGGGTGAAGAGGTTGCGGTGACAGCCTCACTTTCCCCATGCTGCCCCATGTCCTCGACATTGCGAGTTTCCTCAGTCTGACCTCGCCCCAGGAAAAAGCTGATTCAATGATACACTATGACTATTAATGTTATATGATATTGATACCATGACTGACCTTCATGCCAGAACGCCCCGTGCTGCAGCCAGATCCACCCATGAAGCGAATCAGCAAGGCAAATCAAACAAAGACCAGCAAAGCAACACCCAACTGCAAATCAAGCTGGAAACTCACGGTCTTTGGCCAGACAGCAGGCCTGCTTACAGCCCCGGCGCAGAATCGTTTCAATGCCTGGTGTGTTCAGACCTGTGCTGCACACGCAGGCATGCTTTTTCAATAGTTAGACGGTTGCAAAGGAAAAATACAAGCGAACAGAACAGTTTCCCAGTGAAACGAGTCTCCAGAAAAATGCTGTCGTCATCATTCTTGAGTGTTGAGGGGAAGTCGCAAAAACGCGCGCCGCAGCGCGCCGCCGTTTCGCACGCTTTCGGGAAGCGCCG